CCCTACTGAACACAAGCTTCACCCCTACTGAACACAAGCTTCACCCCTACTAGAACACAACCTTCACCCCCTACTGAACACAACCTTCACCCCTACTGAACACAACCTTCACCCCCTACTGAACACAACCTTCACCCCTACTGAACACAAGCTTCACCCCTACTGAACACAAGCTTCACCCCTACTGAACACAAGCTTCACCCCTACTGAACACAAGCTTCACCCCTACTGAACACAAGCTTCTCTCCCTGTGGCACCCTTAGCTCCTAGAACGAGTCTGGCACACAGCGGGCATGCACTAAATATGTAATAAATACACTGACCCAGTTCCAATTTGCCCCAAGAATACCGTGCTAGCAGCAAACTGCACTTTTTTTCCTAAACGGGAAACAGGTTAACATAGCACAAAAGAAAGCAAGTTTTTATTTAACAAGTAAAATGTTTCTTTTTCATGTTAAGAAATGAGTAGTCAGAAGACAGGGCTGAAGGATGCTTCAAAAAGAACAGTGGAGTGAGCCCAGGTGTCAGTATGAAGTCCCGGCTACTACCTCAGCTCCTGTGCTGGCTCCTGGTGAAGAACCTCGGACGAGAGATAGCAGATCGCACTGTTTTCTTAGGAGTAACACTAAGATCAGGACTTACATTCATGTAAGAAAAGAAGAATCACTAATAACATGCTGAAAAAGCAAGACAAGAATTCCACCCCTGGAAACTGTGTAGATGCATGTCTCAGACACGCACTGCACCCATGGAGACCTGCAGGAGCACAGACAGGGGCTCCTGAGCACAGCTCCGTGAAGCAGTCCGTCAGCCGGCCACTCCTGCTGAAAAGCACATTCTTGTTCTCACAGCTCAGACCCCGTGAATGCCAACCCTAGCGGCAGCTGAACTGGTGTGAGAAGCCATCAGGGTCACTACTGATCCACCAGCATGGCAAGCACTGCAATATAAAACAGACACAAAGGCCCCAAGAATGCACCCATCTCCCTGTCTCCACACACAGACGTACCATTTGCGGCTCCCTGTGAATTCAGGATCACCAAGCCATGGTAGCTCTGGCCAAAAATCAGCAGTGCATCTGTGGTCCAACTGTCAGGATATCTAGCATGTACTGCTGCTTCCCAGTATGAGAAAGTGGCTCCTGGCTGGATCCTAACCTCATTCTGCACACAAGTAGTCCATGTTCCTGCCCTTTCATCCAGCTTCCCTCCTCCTCCTAACTCTACTTTCTGATCCCAGGCTCCCTAATACAAAGCTCTTGTCCACTTCTTCCCCGCTCTGGATAACATCCAGGGAAGCACTGTTCCTTCCTGCATGGGCCTAGGGGACCCTGTGTGTTCCGTCTCCTCTGTCATCTTATCAGGTTGACATCTACCTTGTGGCTCTCTGGTGATCCCAGCCTGTCTCTGGCCCTCCAGGACAACGCTACTCTGTTGCTACCCACACCTCTATCTGTGTGGCACACGAACTGTCTTCCTAAGCGTCACCCCGCTTCCTCCTGGACACTTCCATGCTCTCTTTCCCCTTTTGTTCTGACACATTTCATGCATAAATGAACATGTAAGTACTGAAACCTAAACCAGTACCTTGAGAATTCTACACAATCCATAAATCGCACTCCAGTACCCACAGTGAAACAGCATTAAGTTGATTTTATTCTGAAGAAAAATACCACGATCTCAGGAAATTTACAATCCTGTTGGAAAGACAGACCTTACCTCACCAAACACCCTGAAAGAAAAGCTCGACTTAGTAGCAACTTTAAATGGCTGAATTGCAGAAGAGCACTCAAGCACACAGCCGTGCCTGCCGGAGAGCCCGCACCTGTGCTCAGCAGGTGCTCCAAGGCGTCGGAGTACTGCAGCAGGCGGTTGTTGTACAGCCAGGACTGCAGGCGGTAACTGTTGCCATCATTGCTTCGCGGATCATCATAGAATTTCTCCAAACTGCAGTTGCCACCATAGGCTATGTCGAGGGGCTTCCCATCTCCCCTGGTGAGTTCTGCATAGTGTATACATGCTTCGGGAAAGTGCATTAAGCCTGAAAAGAGGAACAATAGGATGCAGCCTGATGCGCAGGCTCCCTCCCTGCAGGGAGCAGCACGGACCCGCCAAACACACAGCCCGCCCAAGCAGCACCACCACCAGGGGTGGCTCCAAAGACCTGGAGGATGTCACCTTTACACCTGGGTCTCATCACGTATGAAGGGAACACACAACACATACGAGCATGCATGTGAGCAAAAGAGCTGTACGGTGACCTTGTACAGCTCCTCCTGAAAGGACAGCACCTGTCACCACAGGAGCCCCCTCTAGCGGGCAACTGCTGTCATGTAGGTGCTACCGGAAGGTATAAGGGACACACATCTGTACCAGGAGGCGGGAAGGGGCTCTAACCTTGGCTTTGTGACCAGCTGTGTGGCACTGCTCACTCAGGAGTACACCCATCTGTGAGTGAGTACCATCCTCACAGAAGCTGTCACAAAGTTCAAACATGACAGCTGACGTGGAAGTGTCCTGCTTACACTGTTCACATAAAATTCCAACTCAAATGGACAACCAGCATGGATTTTTAAAATTTTCCCAATATAAAAGATTAAAAACAGCTTTTTCTTGTTTTGTTTTAAAAAACAGCTTCTTCAATAAACATAAATGTAAAATACCTACCTTAGGCCCAATTATTAAATATTTAATATTATTTTAACACGGATCAATATTGAAGAAAAGCCAGTGAGATAAGCAACCACATAGCTCAGAAAAAAGTATCATTCTGTAAAACATAAATTCGTACCTAGCTGCTCTGCTATTTCTTTTGCAATTCTGCCTTTTCCAGAGCATATATTGCCATCGACAGTTATCACTATGCTGCGTTCTGTCATTCTTTTGCTGATTCTCTCCCCAAGTAGGTAGTTCCACATTCCATATCGCAGCTTGCGCTGCGCACTGGTGTGAATTCCTTCCTGAAAAACACAAAATCACACAGCAGCGCACTGTGACCACTGCAGTTCCTGCAGGCATTAGCAACTATCAGGTAAAAATACTGAGAAACCTCTTGGTGATGAAAATGCCAACATCTACATCTTTATTGCCTAACAGGTATATTGTCTGTTTGTTCACTGCTAAATCCTCAGGGTCTGGAACAGTGTCTAAAATTATTAAATATGTTTACTATGTTCAATAAAAATTGGATGGATGGATGGATGGATGGATGGATGGACAAGCAGACAGAAGGAAGGAGGCAAGAAAGACAGGGATGGAGGGGAGCTTGGGAGTGATAGAGAGGAAGGGAATAAAAAACATTTCTCTAATCCAAGCTTCTGTCCCCAGCTCCTGACCTAGTTACCCCACTGCCTATTAAACAGTTCCACCTTGATGTCCTGAAGGCACCCGAAGATAACAGAGCTAAA